CCTTGTGCTCTGTTTTTCTCACGTTTCGGATGTTGCACCACACTCTCTATGTTGTTTACATCTGATTCCCTATGAAATCACGCCAGGTGGTGCACGATAACCTTAATATCCTGTAGTTTGTGATGCGCCATCATTTTTAAATCTCGTAGTGCGAAGAGAGAAGAATCGATGTGAAGTTCCTCCTGATGTGCAGCCGCATTTTAAGACCTGCCAGGATCGTAAAACTCCGGGAACGTCTGAAGCACATCAGAACTAACTGAACGCATGTTGTGTCGATGTGTTTCCTGTTCAGGTACTTGAGGCTCAAAGAAGACACCAGAAGGAAAAGTCTGGAATTATACCTACCTCACCCACTCCTTACACCTACAACAAGGCAAGACTCCAGGCCTTCCTTGACTCTTAAGTGCCGCAAGCGTGATTCAGTGTTGACGTGTTTCTCAGATAAATGTTTCTCTCCTGTCTGCAGAGCTGTGACTTGTGGTCTCTCGGTGTGATTATCTATGTAATGCTGTGCGGCTATCCTCCGTTCTACTCCAAGCACCACAGTCGCACCATCCCAAAGGACATGAGGAAGAAAATTATGACGGGAAGCTTTGACTTTCCGGAAGATGAGTGGAGCCAGATCTCCGAGATGGCCAAGGACATTGTACGCAAGTAAGTCTTTATCATTTTTCTCTCCACTCTAACGGCTGAATCATGTATTTCTGTTTACTTTATTCGATGGTCGCTGCAGCGATAAAGACAGGAAATGCAAGGCGAGAGACGGGGGTGGATGTTGTGCATTAGGCAGACTCTTGATTTTGTTTCCCAGACACTTTAAATGACACAAACAGCCGGATATCTGAGGCTGTTTTTTTTACATTATTTTCCAGCAGACTCATTAGACTCCCTGCTCCTGATGTTCATCCATCCCGTCTCTCTCTCACTCAGTCATCCTCTTTTCTGCCTCTTAATTTCCTCCTTTCTCTACGTCTGCTCCCTGCAGGCTGCTGAAGGTGAAGCCAGAGGAGAGGCTGACTATTGAGGGAGTCTTAGCTCATCCCTGGCTCAACTGCACTGAGGCCCTCGACAATGTGCTGCCATCTGCGCAGATGATGATGGACAAGGTGAGCGCTGTGCTGCACCAGTGTCTCGAATGAACTGACCAGCAGAGGCCACTGTTGAAAGTTAGTCAGACGTATCATATCTTTACCTCAGCTTCCTGTTCTTAATATGGATTACGCAAGGGGCTAACGAGGATCCCACCTTAGGTAATCATGCTGTAGGTGTTGATTTGTAGCTCAGATCACCTCTGCAGGAGATCACCACTGTGTAACCATGATGAGCTCGTCTTTCTTTAGATGTTTGTTCTTGCAGCTGACTCCACCAGCGTCAGAAACACACCAGGGGAAATCACAGGCCATCGATCACAGCTCTTTTATCCCCCATGTGGTTTCCCTGTCCACCAAACGTGTAGATACATTTTTCAGGAGGCGCCTGTCAGCCGTAGCTCAGGGCACAACCTTGAAGCCTCTGCACGCAGCCGCCGTCGATACAGCACAGCCTCTTATTGCAGAAGTATCCGTCCAGCTTTAATGTTTGTTTTCTGCCTTCCAGGCGGTAGTCGCAGGGATCCAGCAGGCCCACGCAGAGCAGCTGGCCAACATGAGAATTCAGGATCTGAACGTGAGCCTGAAGCCCCTAAACTCTGTCAACAACCCAATCCTCAGGAAGCGGAAACTACTGGGGTATGACTGCTCCCGTTGAGTTTATTGTGTTTATTTTGCTTCTCCACCAAACGTCATTTTATTTTTGTGTTTTAAGAATAAATAAATGACTGTTAAACATGTTGTGATGTCCGTGTTACAGCCCCAAACCCAGTGACAGTTTCTTCATTCACGACCCGGAGAACGGCGGGGAAGACTCCAACGTAGCGCTGGAAAAACTACGAGATGTCATTGCACAGTGTATACTACCACAAGCTGGTCAGTGCTGCTCTCATTTTACTGTAACTATACATGTACAGTCGTGACTCGATAATCCCTTAACAATCCTAAACCTGCTATCTGATAGGTTTTTAGGAAAAACGAGCAGAACCCATTAAAAACAGCCTTAACATAGTGACAGCCTTGGATTCTGACTCCGACATGACACTTAATGTCACCAATCAGGATGACGGCGTATTATCTGACTGAACAATCCCACAGATTGGCTACGTTCACACTGCAGGACTTGATGCTCAATTTGAATATTTTTGTGAAATCTGATTTTTTTGTGAGTTTGTTCACGTTTCTAATTAAATCCGACTTGTGTGATCTGCTGTGTGAACTTCATACGACCCAAAAGTGTCCCGCATGCACAGAAGAGGACACGACGACGTCACACGCAGAGAGCGTGCTCAGTGTTTACAGAAGTAAACATGGATGGTAACGGTGGAGCGTATCTGCCACTCCCCCACCGCCACCGATGGTGGAAACAGAAGTGTGAGCGCTAACTAAACTAGCATCAGCAGCCAAGTACTGCCTGTGTGTTCCACCCCGTTGAGCGCTCCCCTGGGGTGGAAGTGGCCCCCACCGCACTGAATATTCATCATTAATTGGATCTGTGTTGTTCAGAGTGTCATGAAAAGATCAGATACAGGTCGCATAGGGGCAAAAAAATCTGATTTGGGTCACTTCAGCCTGCTGCCTGAACGTATTTACCTTTGATGTCAACCGATGGGCCCGTGCACAATCACACCGGTCAATTAGAAATCCAGCGATGCGTAGTGTTCTAACAATACACTACTTATTATAACAACTATGAACAATAAATATTAACAACTAATGAGCCTTCCAGCATCAAGCCCTCCTTGTATCTCGACCTCCGTCTTAACAATTCAACAGCCTTGCTGTCTGACATAAAAGAAGGTTTTACATTTAGTGTTGGATTATCGAGTCACGACTGTACTTACTTTGTACTCTGCATTTATTGTGTACTCGTCTACTCTGGTACAAACTGCTGCATTACAGCACACCAGAGATGATGTTGTTTAGGTTATGTTGGCTTGATGAGTGAAGTGAAATGTGTGAAAGGTTTGCTGTTCAGCCATTTCTAATCAGCTGAAAAGCATTTAGCCAGTCGATGAAGAAACTTCCGACGTGCACAGGAAGTAGATCATCAGCTGTTATTAATGTTGTAGTTTTTCTAAATGTATTTGGTTATAAATTAACTTGCTGAGGACCCACGTCAGAACCGGTGTATTGAGCTGAGAATAATGAGATGAAGAGACAGAGAGCAGCTCCTGAGGTGAACCTTTGTGTTTGTGCAGGAGAGAACGAGGACGAGAAGCTGAACGAGGTGATGTATGAAGCCTGGAGGTTCAACAGAGACTGTAAGCTGCTGAGAGACGGACTGCAGGGGCTCAGCTGGGACGGTCGGTAACACTTCATCTCGTCTTTGAAATTTCTCTTAAGCATTAAAAGCAAAGTCACTGCCGTCGTTGGTGACTCATCTGAAGTCACCAACATAGCTACAGAATCATATTCATCTATCTCAGGGTTGTTTATCAACAGATAATCAGACAAAATGATAAACTGAATGTTGAATTAAAATGTTCCAGCTTCTCAAATACGAGGATCGACCACAGAAAACTGAATATTTTGGATTTTAAACGAACAGCAGATGTCATATTGTTTGTTTTTTTTTTACCTGTGGGCGACTTTTTCTTCAGTATTTTCCGACAAAAATGATTAATAGAGAAAATAATGAAGTAAATAACTGATTATTCCAACCACAGCTGCTCCATTGTTCACCAGACGTCAACAGAAAACACTGAATATTTTCTATCTTCTAATTGTCTCTGTGGTTGTAGCTTTAGTAGATGATGGATGAGAAAAAAAACAAACAAAGCGATGATTGGCTGGCGGTTTAGCTGACTCCAAGGCTTTACAGTTAAAAGCAGTAATTATTTGCTCATTTGTGCAGCCGCCGGGTTCTCAACCAGCTTTTCCGTTGCAGGACGAGCCTTCTCTGATAAAGTCGACCGCTTGAAGTTGGCCGAAATAGTGAAACAGGCCATCGAGGAGAAGACCAACCTCCAAGAATCTCATTAGCTGTCTTTCTATCTTCTTTTTTATATTGTTTATTATGACCCTTTTTAACCCATATCTGTAAAGAGGCTTTTTTATGTAAGATGATGCGCTAATTTGTTCTTCTTTTTTTTTTTCATAAATCCACTTGCAAGACCTATTGTTGACCTATTGCAAGAGCTATTGTACAGCTGTAGATATATTTCAAAGAGGACTCATTGGTACTATAATTTTTTTTAAAATGGACACTTGCAAAGATCACACGAAGAAAAAAACAAACAAACTATATTTTCATTTTTTTGCAAAAAAAAAAAAAAAGAGAGAAAAGAAGAGAAAAAAATCTGTGAAAGAAATTATTTTCTGGGAGGGAATTTTTATTAGCTGCTTCTCCAGCTTCTCCAAGATGTCATGTGTTTTATCCCAGTTCTTTCATTTTATTCTATTTTATTTTTATTTTAACCAATCCTAAGAAGTTTTATTTATTTAAACAAAGATTGTTTTATACTCGTAGCTTGATGGTGGGCTCTGAACCCGTCTGCGGTTGTTCTTCCACGCGTTCTCTGAATCTACAGGTGAATCTTTGTTGTTGTTGTTGTTGTTGTTTTTTTGGCTACTTCCTCTTGACCGTGTTGTTGAGGAAGAGTACAAATGGAGGCAAAGAAAGTGTCATAAAATTTAAAAAAAAGCAGCCTAAAATTGCTCAGCCCTTTCTTAAAGCTGGCAAACGACAGCTCTAAAAATGTCGTAAACACTACGGCGGGTTTTCTGTCACGTTGGGGATAAAGTGTTCCTACTACCTTTGTTTTTAGTGAGCTTTGGCCTTACAGTCTTCTTTAGAAGAGGTTGTGAGTTGCAGTTAGGCTTTTTTTTGTCAAACAATCAGCATAATCCATATCACAAACCTGGGCTTCATAAAGTGATGAATTTGTTTGTCAGCGTCCCACGTTTCTGTCTGTCTGGCAAGTAAAACGAATCATTTCAGAAAGTTTCATCGGCTTTTTTTCTTCCCCTATTTGTGTTGTGATTTTAAAAGGTCTTAAGTCCAGTCTTTTCTTTTTCTCTTGAAGTTGTTGATCTGTGAAACCGACACGTTCTGCTTTGACGTAAAGTTGTACCTGCTGGAATTCAGACGGGAAAAATCAGCAGGAAGGTGTGTTAGGATTCTACTGAATGTGCAATAGGGCAATAATTTACTGTTTTCACAGTGAGATCATTCAATCTGGCAGTATTACTGTCTGACACGGACCTCTCCTGCTTCATTTCAGTGGTCTGAATGCCAGTTTACGCTCCCTCCCTTTAGCTGTAATCGATATATCACCGATAGGCCAGAGTGAAATCTTTCTGTCGTGCTCCAGTCATATCAAATGGTGGTCTAAAGAAGGGATCCATGTTCGGGTGTTTTACACGAGGCCATGTTGAATCTACAGAACGGCACTTTGATGGCGTAAAACACACGTTTCTGTTCGCTTCTGCTTATCTTGTTTGATAAAGTCTTTGTACAGAATTCTCTCATGTCAAGATGAACCCTGAGTTTTGATCTTCATGTATAAAAACAACCATCAGTGCAATATATCACCGGCTGTCCAGTGAAACGTGTCTCATGTCGCTCTCTTCAGATGCACCGAGGGATTAAATGTTTTTTTTTTTAAATTTCTCGGCTACGACTAAAAACCTTTTTGTATGATCTGAAAATCGTCTCCTGGCTGAAAGCAGGGCTGTTTTTTTGGAGATGATATTTTTTACACCATTTGGAGAAAAAGTCTTCCTTTGTATGTCTGGATTTCTAATTTAGGTTTGGCTTTAAAAAAAGACTGAGTTAAGTCAGTCGCTACTAAAATGATTCAAGGAGATCATTTACGGTCTCCCTTTAAAAAAAAAAAAGAAGCTCAACGATAACCACAGCTTGCGTTTTGAGAAGGCCTTATGATCACACGGCTACGTTTTACGCTCTAATGTGCCTTGTTGAACGGGCGGCGTCTTCATCTGCTCTCATCGGATTGAACAAATCACAGAAAGGAGGAGAAGCTCATTGACAGCAGACTTGTTTTCCTGTGAAGAAATGAAGGTTTTTCATTCCATATTGATTCAGAGATGTTGAAATCTAACTAGCATCATATCCGGTAAAAACTAAAAAAATCTATCTTACTCAGAAAATAAGTTGTTTTTTGAAGTGCTGAATTCCACAAGTGGGAAATTGAAGGAACAGTTCAGCAGTTTGCTCTTTTTATTTGCCTCCAGTTTGTCCGATAAATATGAAATTTACCGTTTAACGTGGTGCATCTCGTGTCTAAATGATAATTTTGCCTTTTTTGTGCAAACGGATTAATGTTACCGATAATTTCTCCGGCACAAAACCAACTAAAAACATCAAATTTGCCCGTTTCTAATTAAAACTTTGTGCTATAAGGTGAGCTTACAAGTGCTGCTGCCTTACGCCTTGTATGTATCGGACAAATTTGGGTCATTATTGCTGAATTAACCGCTAGAAAATGGAACCAAATGTTTTGTTGAACCATGTCTGTGTGGATGTGTGTCATTAATTTATATACATATATATATATATGCTTGTGTGCGTCTGGTTCGGTATGCAGAACCTTCTTTTGTATTTCTGGAGGTCTATCAAGAGAATCAGTTAATCTCTCCAACCCATCCACAAATCACATAATTTATATCTTCTGCTGATTACCGTTGAAGGGCAGTGTATTTATTAGCTTTTTTTTTTTTTGTACTGTAAAGTCAAAGCATGTCTCTTTGTACTGATAGAAGACCTTCATGGAAACCTACCTGCCTGCTGTTTGCTGCTCAGCCGGGCTCAGTGTTACAACTCCCAGAGGGAAGGTGTTTTTTTGTTTTTCCCTCCTCTGCATCCTTTTACTGAGTAGCTGCTGCAGGTTTCTCTCAGACTGACATTCAGGCGAACCCGACTTCATTTGACAAATATTAAGTAGCTTCCATTAGTCACTTTCTCTCACTTGGCTGCACAGTTGAGAGATTTTCAAATTTTTATACAAGGGAAGAGACAAGATTTCTTGTTTATCCGAGCTCTCCCAACACCCATGAATAATTGTGCCCCTTTTTTTAAATAGAAATGGTTTCTCAGCACTTGTACTCTTGATAAATACCAGTTGCTTCCATTTCCTCTGCTGTATACGTAAAAGTACAGGCAGGTGTTTATTTTTTGGGGTTTTCTGGCATCAAATGTACGTAAAGAGGATGAAGAATCTGTTCCTCCTGAAGTAGCTGTTTCTGTTTATACGTCAGGATGGAAATCATTTCAGTTTCAGAGCCGTTTGCTTTACACCGGTCCTTTTTCTGGTCTGGCAGTCGATGTAGCATGAATCTCTCATCAAAGACTTGCTGTATTTTCTGTTCATCCATGTATTTTTTTTGCCCTTTCTGCCTTCTTGGAATGTCATCACCATGCTGACTTTGTAATAAAGGAATTCTTTGACTTTTCAACAGATTGTTCGCAGTGATTTTTTTGAGTGTTTCAGTGGAAATCCCTCCTTGGTTTATAGTTTTTCTCAGTTGCTTTGGTGCTATCTCAGATCTGAATTGAAATTCTCAAAACTACTTGTTCAATCTTCACATCATCATGTCACTTGTGCACATCAAGAAAAGCAGTTTCTTATTTCTAAATGCTTTGATACATCCATGAAGATGATTATGTGCAATTCTCTGCTCTTTCCTACATTTACAGTTGCTTATATCATGTTGATCAGCAGCTAGAAGGTCACTGGTTTGTGTCCCAGTGGGGGCACCGGGATCTTTCTGCGTGGAGTCTCCATGTTCTCCCCGTGCAGCGTGGGTTCTCTCCGGGTTCTCCGGCTTCCTCCCACAGTCCAGAAACATGTTGAGGTTAATTGTGATTCTAAATCAGGGGTGGGCAATCCTGGTCCTCGAGGGCCACAGTCCTGCATGTTTTAGATGTTTCCTTCTTCCAACACATCATGATCAGCTCATCATCAAGCTCTGCAGAAGCCTGATAACGATCCTGATCATTTGAATCAGGTGTGTTGGAAGAGGGACACATCTAGAACATGCAGGATTGTGGCCCTCGAGGACCAGGATTGCCCACCCCTGCTCTAAGTGTAGCCCTGTGATAGACTGGTTACCTGTCCAGGTGAACCTGCCTTCACCCTGAGTCAGCTGGGATAGACTCCAGCCCCCCATGACCCTAGTGAGGATTAACTGGTGTATAGAAAATGGATGGACGTTGATCAGAATGTATTATCATGGGTCTCTGTTGAATAGTCTCAACCCCACAACATTTAGGCATTAGTTCATCGTCTTTACATGCAAAATAATTGAACAAGTTGTCATAATATGTGAAGCATATTTCTCTACAGCAGGGGTGTCCAATCCTGGTCCTCGAGGGCCACAATCCTGCATGTTTTAGATGTTTCCCTTCTTCCAACGCACCTGATTCATATGATCAGGATCGTTATCAGGCTGCTGCAGAGCTTGATGATGAGCTGTGGTCGTGTTCCTCTACATGTAAAGGCTGGCTTTGTTTGAACACTTAATGAGAGGAGTTCGGCTTGCTGTGAGGGCATTTCTGTTTCTAATTAATCGAGTATTTGACGATAATCCCCGGTGTTGCTTTTGTAATTAAAGACTACTCGTGACAATTTCTGATCTCCTCCACGCCATGTATATTTATTTCAGTGTATTCAAAAGGAGTTTAAGTTAAAAATCTTTTATTTCAGATCGAAGACAGAGCAGATAGAAATCTAGAGACAAAATCATCAGAACCTCAGAAGACAAATTCACATTGAAAAAAAAAAAAACAACCAACACAGACACACATGCTCTGTTACACATGTTTAAGGCACTTTAAAAAAAAAAAAAAAATGTTGGAAAGCGACAATAAGACCAGAAATTTGCTCCCAGGATGGAAATCACACCATCAAAAGCTCGCAAGATTATAGAGTAAAGTCTGTTTTTACACGGGGCAGAATGTTGCTTTGGTTACACTGAACTGAAAGCAGGTAGCGGTAATATTATATCAGACCAAAGTACACGCAGTACGGAGGGTGACAGGTGAGTTTCATGAGATTACTGCCACAAAAAGACAGTTTACAAATACTTTCCCCCCCAATTAAGCCCATTTATCCTCATTAATGGCACCCTTATTAAGGCGTTAAGAAGATAATACAAGAAAATGTCCCATTTAAAGGGGAAATATTAAGGTTAAATACACGTTTTGTTGCCTCCCCGGTGCACAGAAATGAATCTAAATGGTGTCTAGTCCACCAGATAATGCGTTCCCAATTCCCTCTGGTCAGATTTGTAGTCAAATAATTAAAGTGTAGCTTGAAAACTTAACTAGACACACAACAGATCAATCTTTTAATCTGCACTGGCACTTTAATTCCCACTTTAATAGGTTAAACATAAGCTGTACGTTTGGAATGTGTTTTTCTAGAGCTTTGGTCCTTTTTTTTTTTCCCCCACTACCGCATACATTCTGCCCCTCAGCTCGCTGTACGTAACCGATGCTCCAGGACAAATTCCCTGCGTGTGGAAATGCACTTGGCAAAGCAGGCGAACCGTAAAACGCATTAATCCCAACGCTTTTGAAATTCACCCCGGCGTGACGCAGAGGGCCGAGATTTGAGGTGTTTGAACAAAATAATTGAACTAAAATGGAGTTACGGTTACAGCAAATCCATTTTAGCTCCGCAATGAAACTCCAAACCCAACGGAAGACAGTGATGATGTTTTTAACGGGCCGGCTCAGTCGGAGTCCTCGTCGTCCAAATACTCCTCAGCGTTGCTGTGTGAGCGGGTGATGTCTGAAACAGGAGATACGGACCGTTAATGACACGAATCTGTTGAAATATTTTATATTTAATGACAAGATCTCTGGAACTTAAAACATTAGTGGTTGCACTGTTGCATATTTTGCACGTTAAGTTTTAATATTAGCTGCACTAAATACCCTGTATAAGACTCATCCATCTGTCCATTATCTATACACCGCTTAATCCTCACGAGGGTCACGGGGGGCTGGAGTCTATCCCAGCTGACTCAGGGTGAAGGCAGGTTCACCTGGACAGGTAACCAGTCTATCACAGGGCTACACTTAGAGACAGACAACCAAGCACACTCACATTCACACCTACGGACAATTTAGAATCACCAATTAACCTCAACATGTTTTTGGACTGTGAGAGGAAGCTGGAGAACCCGAAGAGAACATAGAGACTCCACACAGAAAGATCCTGGGTGTCCTCACTGGGACATGAACCGGCGACCTTCTCGCTGTGAGGCGACGGTGCTAACCACCGATCCACCTTGCAACCCTCAATTAAGAACGTGTTATATTTATTTTTTGATGAAGACCATGAGATCCTAAACTTTGAAGCAACATTTTCACTTTCTAACTCCAGCAAATGTCAGCAGATTTCTCCATCAGACCCTCATCGTTTCAGTTCATGCTGTGCTTTAATGCAGCGCACACTATTTCCAAAAGAAAAATCAGATAAATAATTATCCTATGACAACATGGGCGCCTTTTGAGCCTCAGACGGTAACTTTGGTAACGCAGCCATGATCACCCCTTTTGCAAACTCCCGGTTGTCCTCAGTGGGACGCGAACCAGCGACCTTCTAGCTGCAAGGCAATGGAGCTAGCCACCCAGCCACCCTTGTATAAGACTTGTTCACAACGTAAATTAAGGTTGACAAGTCTGTTGTAAATGATCCTTTTGTTTAACATCCTTCACATCTCTTGCACTTTCACAACAAGGACGTGTAAACCCAAAAAAATCTAATCTAATAACTTGTATTTCCTGCTGTTTACAAAAGAATTAGGAGCAGGACATGGATAAAACGATATTTCACAAAAACAGACACCTCGTCTACAACAAACCAAGAAGCCTGCAATCAATTAATGTTCATTTAACAGCTACTGACTAATGTGGCATTCGTCTTATGTGGCATTTGCAGGACAGAAAAGATAGAATAGCAAACAACATATTTAATTTTGATAGTAAATGCTAATGTTTAGCAGCTCTGTGCAGAGACGATACAGCTTTTTTTTTCAGTTAAGGCCTCCTGATATCTAGCTTTGGTTGCTGCAGACGCTGACCTGAAGGGAGATCGTCTAAGCTTGTCTTGTAAAAAAATAGGAGCTCAATAAAAATCCTGTTAATTCGGTTCTCAGCCTATGACACTGCATGTGCGAGCACTGTGAGGCTGCCCCCTTGTGGCGGCTGTACTTACTGCTTCCCTGCTTCCGTTTGAGAAGTGAAGCACACTGAGCGTTGGTGGCCATGTCCAGAGCCAGCTTATTCTCATTGTTCCTGACGTCTGTCCTCGCATCTGAAACAAACATGTTTAGACTAAAACAACAACAACAACAACACAACCACAGAGCCACAAAAACACTTGTGGACAGTCAGCTTGTTCTTGTTTCCTCAATCTGGATTCCTCTAATAATGTTTGAGAAAAATCTTTTGTTTCGATATTCATCCAAGTGAAGACGGTAACCGTCTGCTCAGTTTCTTTTTCTGTACTCACTCTTGTTAAGCAGCATTTCCACAATGTCAGAGTAACCCTTCCAGGCAGCAGCGTGCAGCACAGTGTCTCCAAGTTTATTCTAAAACACAAAGGATCAACATCACCGACAAACATCCTGATTGTAGTTCCTGTAACTTCAAAGTCCGGACATAATTGAAAACGAGTCCAGAATGCAGTTTGTTCATTTTGCCAGGCTGTGCTACGTTTTAAAATGAATAAAGCTCGAAATGTTTTTACCAATCCAGGGCTCAAGATACCAGAAATAGAAAAGAAATACAGAACAATTCAAATAAAAACCAATGTGGAGAATCTTAGCAAACAGCCTCCAGAGCAGCTTCATTTCAAACAGACAAATCTCCTAAATGTCTAAATACATTCTTCTAGCACATCATTTGGTGTTTTGATGATGAACTTACTCGCCATACGATAAAATTAATATGCATCTTAAACGACTCTTGTGTAGGAATTTGTTGTCTCACCACAAATTTTTTCCACCTTTCTTTTATTTTGTTAGTCGTAGGAATACAGCTGCTGAAGCATCCGCTATGAATGAATCACAACATCTGCTTGCTTCGTGCCTTGATGTCATTACTCCATCTAAATAAATAACCTGATACAGACACAGTCACACACAGTCACAGTCATGACTCGATAATCTGACACTAAATGTAAAACCTTCTTTTATGTCGGATATCAAGGCTGTGGGATTGTCAAGACGGAGTTCGAGATACAAGGAGGGCTTGATGCTGGAAGGCTCATTTGTTGTTGATATTTATTGTTCATAGTTGTTATAATAACTAGTAGGGCTGAATAACACTTTCTGGTCTCTGGATATTCAGGCCCAATTAATGATGAATATCAGAATATTTGGCACAATCGAGGGGGCAATTCCACCCCGGGGCAACGCTCTGACGGGGTGGAAGTGGCCGGAACACACAGGCAGTACTTGGCTGCTGATGCCAGTTTAGTTAACGCTCACACTTCTGTTTCTACCATCGGCGGCAGCAGCGGCGCCACTCCCCCACCACCGTTACCATCCATGTTTACTTCCATAAACACTGAGCACGCTCACTGCGTGTGACGTCGTCGTGTCCTCTTCTGCGCATGCGGGACACTTTTGGGTCGTATGAAGTTCACACAGCAGATCACATACAAGTCGTGTTTAACTGGAAATGTGAACGAACTCACAAAAAAATTGGATTTCAATCTGATTTCATTTCTGATAATAAGCTGTTATCCTGATTGGTGACATTAAATGTCATGTCGGAGTCAGAATCCAAGGCTGTCGCTATGTTAAGGCTGTTTTTATGGGTTCTGTTGGTTTTTCCTAAAAACCTGTCGGATAGCAAGGTTTAGGATTGTTAAGGGTCGAATTATCGAGTCACGACTGTATCTGTCTGTTCAGAAGAAATTCTACTTCCATGTACATCAGCTGAGGGACGGTGTTAATGCAGCTGGTGAGATTTGACCTAATAACAAATTCAGCTGATGCTGCGATCACCGGGTCTTGATCCTGTGGCTGTACAGGGCTTTCCAGTCTCACCACATCACCATGCTTCTCGTGATTTAAGGCTGGCTGGAAAATCCACATGATTTCAAGTGTGGGACCTGATGTTTTTCACCCAAGTTACTTTCATGTCTGAATGAGGTTTTAAACTCGTCTCACCTGCTGGTTGAGCTCCACGTTGGGCTGGCTTAGCAAAAGCTCCACCACATCTGACATGGAAAAAAAAAAAACAGACAGAACAGACTTAATGGAACAGTCATTCAATGGAGAGCTGACACCAACTTCCTGTTTCTGTGTTCTTCCTTTCTGATTCAAAACAAATCTGCTGGTGTGTCACAATTTCACATTTATGAAAATGTATTCAGTCACTGACTCAGCAGTGTCACAATCTGTCAAACTGATTTTTTTTCTGGTAAATCCAAACATCACGGGGGTCAGTCTGAAACTTTACTGTGTTTGTTAAAGGAAGTGTTCACCCCTGCAAACATCACATCGCTACCATCACAAAGTACGTTTCTCTGTTACCTTTATGGCCCCCGTGGCATCCCCAGTAGAGGGCAGTGTTTCCAGCTTTATCCAGTCCGTTGATCCCGACCTTGTTCTCCACACATTCCCTCAGCCAGCTCAGATTCCCTGTTTGAATACACAAATATGTTCATACACACACACGATTAATAGGAGAAGCTTCCAGAGCTCCTCAGCAGGAACAGAAAAGACATTATAAAGGCCAAGGCTGTTTTTATTGTCTCCAGAAAGAGAGAAGTGTCCTGGACAAAAGACAATAAATATCAATAAGTGAATTAAAACAACACTGAATCATCAGAGTATTTGGTTAATCATACCTCGTTTGGCTGCTTCGTGCATCGGATTGTCGATAGACTCGGCCTGCTCAGCCACTAGAAAGACAAAAGAAGATCATCGTGTCACACTCGTTACATAATCAGCTGATGGGTGTTGTTTGAGCTGACCGGGATCGCTTTGCATCGTCGTGAGAAAAATTCACATTCACCTGAAAAAACAGCCGGATAAAGCCAACAGTAATGTCCTGTTTAAAATCACTAATTCAGTTTCCCACCCTTCTTCTTTTGCTCTGATTTAATGACACCAACCTGAGTTAACCTCTGATATTTGTCCTACTACAATTTAATGAGCATCTATTGACTTTAACATCATGGAGTCAAACACCTTTTTGATTTAAAGTCAAATGAAAAAGAAGAATTCAAAAACTTAAGAGTTTATTTGTCGGTTCTGCAGCAACAGAAGGAGTTAAAACTGTTAATCTAGAACTAATAGAGGGAAAAAATTAACAAAAAAAATCTTTAATCACAATTATTTGTATCCCTAATCAGTACATTTTGTAGCATTAACCTATAAGACAGAATTAGTGCTCCTACATGCCTCCGTCACTTCACGTTACTGTTTTGTTTATTAGGATCCCCATTAGCACCAGTATAACCATCGGCTATTCTTCCTGGGGTCCACACACGGTCACACTTATACACACAACAACCACAAACACAACAGCTCATCTCGTTAACTTTACAATGAAGCAAAATAAGGTAGAGAAACATATTGTCATTCAATACAACATACATTAAATCATACACTGAATTGTAAATCCATTATTATTAATCTTGAACTCATAATTCTTCTTAATAAACATATAATCAGAATGACCTTAAATAACACATTTATTCATCCTGCTCTTCGACCCACTGAGATCCAAGAAAATTGGGCAAAAGTACATTTTACATTCTTTGCTTTCACCAGCGTTACATTTTATTCTGAAACACCATTTTCCTGGTCTATACCTCCTTAAAAGCTTCTCTTGAGCTAAACACAGCGGTGATGAATTCCACCTAATCATGGCTCTGTTCATTACTGTTTCCTGCCGTGTACTCGTTAGCAGAGGTGGGAAGTAACCAAGTACAAATACTTGGTTACTGTAATTTTTGCAGGTACCTGGACTGTACTTGAGTGTTAATTTTTCTGAGGACTTTTTACTTTCACTCCCTACATCTGAACACAAATATCTGGATTTTCTCCTCCTTACATTCTCAAAACTGGCTCGTTGCTTGTTTCAACCTCCGTGGATGACGACATGACGCAAAAACAAACGTCTTTATCTTTCCCAGCAGTTTGTCACTGAAGCTCAGCACAGCCCTGCCTGCCTCAGCTGCCTGTGAGAGGCCTTTGAGCACTGCAGGACTGATGTTCAGACCCAAAAGGGCAGAACTTTGAGAACCAGCTTCTGCTGAGGCTCAATACAAGATTTTGGTGAAGAGACGAGTGTTTCCATGTTGATTCTAATGTTTATAATGAAATGGAAAACCGTCCAGTGATGTTTTTTTTCTCTGTACCAGCACTGTGCAGCTTCTTAAAGGATGAAAACAATCCTACTTTGTGTGCTTAAAACTTTATTCGTTTTGCCGAGTTATCAAAAGAGGCATCGCGTATCATCAAAGCTAAAAATTCATTTTTCCTTTTGTACCAAAGTAAATTTCTGAACCAGTACTTTTTTTTACTTTTACTTGAGTAAAGGAGTTGAATCAGTACTTCTACTTTTACCAGAGTCTATTTTTACACAAGCATCTCTACTTGCACTTATTAAGTAAAGAATGTGAGTACTTTTGCCATCTCTGCTGGGTCGCGCTTTAGGTAGAATAAACTGTCGTCGTGTTTCGAATCGTGTTCGATAATCACGTTGAGCAAACTGAGAAAACAGCCTTTCATGTGATATCGTTGGAGATCACATGAACAGAATATTCTTGACAAAAATTTATCAAAACATAGATGATCTCTGCCTTAGCCAACCCAGACTGTCATGCATATCTGACACATTGGTTCATCGGTAATATTTTTGCTCACCACATACATGTGATGAAATTTTCATTTTGAACTCACCGTAGTTACTTGGAATTAGTCCCGTCCTTCCTCTGCACGTCCCCTTCCACCAATTAGTGTCACTCTGGGGGTAAAAGTAGAGCAGAAAGTTTAGGGAAAGCAAAAAAAAAAGAAGAACAATAGTGAAAAGAAGAGGAAGACAACCGTCTGACTACAAAACTGCACCACCACAAACGGGGGGCACAAAATGCAAATACTGCAAGAATGAGATTCCAGAGAAAAAGGAAGAAGAACTGCAAATTTAAATTCAAACCTAAAGAGGAAGACTGCAGCTCACAATCTGGGTTTTACTCACCGTGTCAGAGATGTATAAGATGTCTCCTTCTTCAAAGTACAGCTCGTCTGGCTGAAAAACACACCATTTTTTTTTTTTTTACCAATTTCACAGACTCAGGAAGTTGTATTCAAACTATTCTGACCTCAAGACAGACTCTTGCGTCATACTTCACCCTCTTTCCTTCCTCTTTTTTTTTTGAGAGTCTACCTTAATTTAGTCAATACTCACTGCTGCTTTTTAATGCGGTTTAACCCAAAATGTTTAAGGTCATGAAAGAGGTATCAGTGTCAAAGTTCGCTGGGTGAGAAGTTTTTATTTAACAAATTGGGATTTTAGTGGTTTTATTGGAAATGTTTAGCTAATTAATAAGTCTCCAGCTTGTCGTATTTGATCTTTAACTAAATTTCTCTTGACAAGCAATCTGAAGTCATCAATGAGAAAATGTGAGACTAATTTAACATTTCAAGCAATTAATTGATTAAGAAAATCAGCATTTTTCAAACCATCCCAGTATGAATGTGATAAATTTATTCCACTGTGTTAGAATAAACTCTAAAGGCTGTGTAGTAATGGCAAGAATAACAAATAAAACAGCACAAATGGTCGTTAGAAAGCACCAAATATAAGAAATCAATGCAACTCTTCAACAAAAAAAGCAGCTCTTACTGTTCTGGGATCGAAGGTGAACAACGCTCTGAACACCTTGACTTGGCCTAAAAAAAACAAAAAGAGAGAAAAACATGTTAGATGAAATATTTGCAAATCGTTTGCGGTGAGTTAACCTCATCCCTGTTTGCAGAAGAACAGCGAACAGAGCACGCTATGCGACACGTAAACCCTGATGTGAAACCACACATGATGCCACTTCACTGCCCTGCACGACAACCAGCAGCACCCGCTTTAGTTTCACTCGGGCTGAGCCTGCAGGGGAGTGCAGAACGCAGCTTTAATGTGGTGAATTACTCTCATATTCGAGCGCAATAAATCTGAGGTGTGACATCACCCATCAGCCCCATAAGGAGCCATTTGCATGAAGTGCGTATCAGATCCTCTGCAGCCAATGAGAAAGCCCATTTCTGCATGTGGCGCAGGGACAAACGCACACAGAGTGGTCCTTTTGTGTGGCTGCCTTCCTGCTCGGGGCAGCTCGCTGTCGAGCCCGGCGTTGGCTCCGCGGCTGGAATGCCACCAGAGTGGTTGTGGCCTTAGCTGACAGCTAAACTAGTTCGCAGAGGCTTACAAAAGAGCTTAAAGAGACAGTGACAAGCTTCTAGGGTAACATTTATTAACTCTTCCTACTAGCTGTTTATTTCTAGGACTAAAGAAAACCCTTGACGTTGCATCCACAACATAAACACTAAGCTTCATAAACAGACTAACGATCTGGTTACACACCAACACCTGATGGTTTTTGTTTTCCAGTCAGCAGGATCAAATCTAACTGAGAACTGAAGATAATTCTGCTGATTTGCATCTGGATGGGAGATAAAGATCAGCCGGTGTGTCAGGTTATGAACTTCCCTTTCAACAATTATCAGATAACAACGGGCTTGAAAGCACACACAAAAATCATTGTGTGCATTCCTGTTATAAACTGTTGATATCTTGTATGTTTATCTGTGTTGCATGCATCAAATAAAGAAAGAAAGAAAGGTCAAAGTTGTTAAAGCATCTACAACCCTCACAAGCCAGAATTCAATAAAGACGTCGGTGAATCACGAGGAGCCAACGTCGAATCGTTTACGGTCATATGTTTAACACGTCTGACACATGGCGACCGGGCCTTTTCTGTGAGGCTTTGGGACGACCTGCTTGAGGAAATAAAGCTCGCAGATTCAGTATCTTTGTTTAAATCACTTCTTAAAACTCACTTTTATAGACTCGCTTTGAGTGATGTTCTCTTTTAGATTTTTTCCCATTTCTTTTCCCGTTTTTTTTATTGGTACTACCTGCTGTCCTTCTCTCTTTTCTCTTTCTTAATCTACTTTTATCTTCAGCTTTTATCTTAAATCCCCTCTGTGATGTCGTCTTTTTAAATCAGTGACCCAGTTGGTTCTTTTCCATGTTTATTGCATGTATTTTTATATTCAGAGTGTTTGCCTGCACTTTTTTATACATGTTGTCTTTGCTTTATTATGCAAAAGCACTTTGCGAATTCTGCTCTTACAAATAAAGTTTATTATATATTACATTTATCATAGAGGTGGGCGAGCATCTTCTGTTTCCCGATCGCATTACCTAACAGGTCCAAACGCCTGTAACTCCCCTCTGCCGTCGCTCAGGGTTTCTGTTTAGCTAACACACTGCCTCAGTGTCTCAGAACGAGAGGCTGCACAAGTCCGGCTCTGTTCGGCGCAGCAAGCATGTCTGCTCTGCAGGCCCGGTCATGCAGCTTAAAACACACAAAAGCCTGTGCTGACTGGGCTCTCGCTGCACTTTAAACCCTCAGGCACACACAAGGGTGAATCTGAGATAAGGACAAAAAATAAAAAGAGAAGAAAATTTGCACCTCGTTATGAGCAAAACACTGCCACAGGATAATATATCTGCTTATGGGTTGTTGTTTTTTTTTTATGATTGCCAGCTGTGTTATTTTATTACACAGCTCTAGTCTTGCAGCCCCCTCCCAGAAAAACGTGTCTGATCTTGGTGGTTATTCGATTCCTCAGTCACTGTTCAAAGCCCAACCCAACGACGTAACCATCCAAGCTTCTAATCTGGTAAACGAGAGATTTCACACGGCTCCTGATGAGAATCCTGAATAACACAAAGACAGAATCGTTTTCTTCTTGTTGAGGGGGAAAAAGTAGGAACACACAAGCCTGTAATAAATCTGAATCAGAATTTATGTGGCCATGGAGCACAGAAGAGCTTGTGTAATGTATGATTCTCACTTTGGGTTCTCAAAAAGTTCAACCAAAGGGGCAGCGTTCCTAAATCTGGGACGGATAACTGCCCTTAAATCTTCCCTCCACCACCTACAGCAGAAATAAACAAACGTAGGTAGCGAATCCTCGTTCTGTGCACTCGGCTGGGATGCCTTTCATTCCCACAATTCTGCATCTCCACGTGAATCAGCCATGACCACACGAAGCGCCGACGTTGCCAAATAACGCTGAAAAGCTCTTCCACGACCTGGAGCTCCGACAGCCAGGCGCACCGAGCAGCCATCTGTCACGACAGACGAGCTCACCTGCTGTCACAGCCAGCGAGGTGTCACGGAGTCGACGTGTTAATAACCGAAGACGAGGAGGAGGAACGATGCGGTTTTCTGTCTCGGTTTTCACACAACAGGCAAACCGACATGTCTGCTGCTGAGATGCTCGGCCTCCTGAGGGATTTCAAAGCATGTGTTCCTCGTAAACATGCAACAGCTTTACCCACATATGCAATGATTGTTCAGTTTTATTTTCTACCTCCCCGTGTGATTTGTTTTTCTTGTGCATATTTGATGCACACAATGTAACCGGCGTGTCTCTGCAATACATCCTAAAATGTTTTTGTTTAGAAAGGCGTTCGACTTTGTGATTGTGAGCATCTTATTTGGAGTATATGAGTAAGATTAGAGTCAGTTTTCAATACAAACATCTCCTAAAATGACATTATTGTTGAATCAAAACCTCTTTAAAGTGATGTAAATTACATTAAAGCACATTTGCCTGCCTTTCATCCTCTTTAAACTAGACTCTAAGCCCAAATTGATGATAACTGTGCACTTTCTCTTATGTTTTAATACAGACATGTGCAGGAAGTGAGCGAGCCAAACAGCCAGACTACAGTTCTGCACCTGGACAAGGAGGATGTTTTGCGTTTTGCACCTGATAAAACTGGAAACCGAGTCCTTGTTGTTTCTGTTGCTGCATACACCTGAATCCTACCTGTTGCACCCACACAGTTCATGAGCCATTTTCACAAAGTCAGCATTATTAAAAATGTGTGGGAAGCTCCAACATGACAAATGCTCTGATTTCATCAATATTTCTGTGAGTAATAGACGCATTTCGCAATTTTTTTTTTTTGGAAAGAGGCAACCAGAATAGACTGAAGGAAGTCAGGCTGATGTCATCGATCATATGGACTCCTCATCACCTTTTAACCTAAAGCCCGTGAACGCAGCACTGTCCTTGTGTGAGTGATGGAAATAGGGAAGTGACGGAGGCCTGCTGCTGAGCGCTGGATGCCCCTGAACGAGCAGCGCTGAAGCCACGAAGGCACTTTTAACAGCCCCACTGTCGTCCTGCCACAGCCAGCGATAACAGACACGACCATTAATCAGAGTTTAAAGCCTTTTCCGGCTGATAAAAGTTTCCCAGACAAACGACAGAGAAGTGAAGCGCTCACCGCCCATTAAACGCACATCGCCAACAAGGTGCGCTTGTTCTCCTAAAAAAACAAAACACAAGTTTTGGCTAAATTTCAACAACAAAAAACCTCGCAGTGTTGCTCTTACCTGGCTTGGCCGGCTTGGGAGGAGGCTTTGACATTTGTGAGGCTCAAAGATAAAGTCAAAAGAGACGCGCTGAGTTTGTTTCGGCCCCAAACGTCGCTGGACGGTGAAGCACTTTGCTGCTAACGCTCCCAATGAGGAAGTTGAGTTACGCGGAAAAGTTTGTCTGCGCATGCGCCTGAAACTACTCTGCAATGTCAGGTCACTCGATGAGTTTATTTATTTATGGTATTTTTTAAATAAAACAAACAAATGACCATAAACAAAACAACAATATAATACTCTGTAAATGTAAATTAACTGGGATTATTTTTAATTAGAAAGAAACAATCTTTAAAGTTTGTAATTAGACTTGATTATTATTATTATTATTATTATTATTATTATCATTATTATAAGTAGTACTAGTAGTTGTTTTAATAGCAATAGTAGTAGTATCTTAACAAACCTAATATTTAAAATACAATTCAGAAGGTCTCTTGAAAAACAAAACAAACAAAACAAAAAAAAAGCATGACAAACAAAAAATGATTATTTGACATGTATGTCCTGCTCTCTCTGTATTGAAAACATCATTTACTTAATTTTCTTACTTTTTGAAAAGAAAAAAAAATGTGTTGATGTATGAAATGAAATGCATGTTGATCAGGGTTTGTTCTCTGCATTTTTTTTGCTTTGTATGTGATTTTATTTCATTTTTGTTTTAATTTCTTTTTAAATCTAAGACCGCTTTTTAAAACATTTCTTCTTACAAAGCAGTTTCAAGTCTTGTAAAAAAAAAAAAAAAGAAAACTTATATTTTATCCACTCTTAGCACGTTTTACTTTAGTTTTTGTGCTTTTTACATGTTTAAAAAATGTTTTTGTACATAAACGCTGAACTGTAGAATGCATTTAATTTAAATGCACAAATATTATTTATAATTTAGTTTTAGTATTTGTCTTTTTAGTTACATTTCACTACTATTATTTAGTTTTTAACTGAATATAACCCTCCTGTTTAGTTAATTTGCTGTATATGTTGTGTTCATAATTTCTCAATGGGCAGGTCTTGAGTGACGTAGCGGCTCCAGCAGCCAATCATGAGCGTCCACTGGCGGAAAAGCGTGCGGTCGTGCAGAGCTGTTGCTCGCAGCAGCAGTGACCAACATGCCTGAATCCCACTGGGGTCTGCACAGGAGCTGATGATCAATTTGTTATTAGCGGCTGTATAGATCAGTGAGTGAGCGGCACCGTGCTGGGATGAAGACGCTCATTGTTGGAGTTGGAGGGTGAGTAAGTGGGAGGATTGTTAACATTCATGTGTTGACCTCTTTGGGGGGAAAAAACACGCCTTTACTCTTCTTCTTGGGTCAGTTTGGCTCCTGCCGGACCTCAGATACAGAGAAGTTTTTCACAACTCAAATGATACAAACTGCAAACACCGGTGACCTTATGTTTTTTTTGTAATTCCTCTTCATATATTGAACATACTGGCTAATACCAGTACTGACCTGTGACTAAGGGACACCAGGCCAATGCAGCATGTGACAACCGTGTGGCTGATAAGAGTTATTTGCTCTGCACAGAAAAACATACATGTCAAAATCAGCAGCTTTTTGTTATTTCTGACATGATTTACTGTGCAGACACACTGTTAAATGAAGCTACAGTGGTTTATTGTCCAGATTAGGTTCAGACAAATAAACATTAAAAAAAAAATTGCTACTATTTATAGTTATATTTTTCATTTTTCATCTGATTTCTAACTTGCAAGACATTTTTTGCTGCATCTATAGTGTAGTCACAGTGGATCTATTTATGGACATGATGCAGGAGAGCAGCTTCCATTAAGCCTGATGACCTTAAGCATCTGATACAGGCTGCTAAGCCATCAGTGATGGGTGTGGTCCGAAGTGTAGCTTCACTTTAACCTTTCTGGTTTTCAGCATGCTGCTTGTCGGTGGGTGGGGTTGCATTTTGGTCAACTGGTGGCTTGGTTGCACCTCGAACTACACCCAGCAGGGATGATGCTGCATTTCTGAGGCAGTTTCACAATTTATATTTGGCAGTTTAATAACAATATATCGGTCAGGTTGTTTTTCAAGAGTAGTTTTCATCAGACACCACTGAATTTGAAACAATACATGTATAAGACGTGACATATCGTAGCTGAAAAGGGGAAAAAAGAACTTTAAAATATATGATTCTGACGATCAGATGCAAAACTTAAGGGGTTTAATCAATCAAATTAATAGTACAATGCATGTTCTCACCAATTTGGACTCTTTATTTCTTGCAGGATGACCAATGGAGGAAAATCCACTCTCTCCAAGAGTCTACAGCAGCAGATACCCAACAGCTGCATCATTGCACAGGATACGTATTTTAAGGTGGTTTGAATCACTTAAGCTACTTGTAGACTTCTTTGTTGTGTCACAGACGAGATTTGAGAGCTTGATGATTTCTGGTGCTTCTTTCCACAGGATGATGCTGTTGTACCGGTGGACAGCAACGGCTTCAAGCTGTACGACGGTAAGGTTAATTTAATTTTTTTGTTATTTAACTTTTTGCTAAAGTTACACAGGTTTAGACTCTGTAATTATAACAACAAAGCCTTCATGCACTACAATACGGTTTAATTTGGACCCACTCTACTGTGTTGTTGTTATATTTTTAGGTTTTCTAACCAGCTTAATGCAGACAATTAAGCCACATCCTGTCACAGTTTGGTGCAGCTGTAGGCATCAGTCATGTGAAAATAGACAAATGTAGGTACAACAAGGACTCAGAGTTTCATATCTGATATTTTTTGTGGGAATTCGGGAAGTTAAGCAACTTGGAGAGGCTGTAAAATGTGCAAATGGTCGGCATTTATTCAGTTGGTTCTAATATATTTACTACTTTCCGGCAAAGGAGGAACGAAGAGATATCAGATCTTTCTACCCAATTTCTTTCTGGCAATTTGAAGAAGTCTTTCAAGCAGCTTTTGAACTGAAGAAACAAAATACACATGGTTGTATGTATTGGATATCTTTCCATTCACCATTACAAAATGTGAAATATAAAAAAAAAAGAGGGAACATTTTCTTGTTTGATTTGTTTTGTCCAGTCAACAGTCGGACACATATTCAAATTAAAACGTCACGAACACAGAAAATAGAGACCAGAAAGCACTTAGCTGATGTATTTCTGTAATTTCGGATCATTTATCAGAATGCACTGTTCTGAAAAATCATTGTGTTTCCTCTTCAAGTGCTCGATGCTCTCCGCATGGACACGATGATGAACGAAGTCGACTCGTGGAGGAGAGACCCCGAGTCGTTCCTGAGGCAGCGAGACCTGAACTCTGAGCACCAAACGCCGTCCGTCGATAAGGACGTGTGCGTGCTGATAGTGGAAGGATTCCTCATTTTCAACCACAGGTAAATTATTAACGAAGTCTCCCTTCAGTTATAAGTTCAGCGAATGCAACCTTAAAAGTTTGATTCTAGAGTTTATAGCAATAGATTTTTCCAGGGAGCTGCTAAGAGAGACTTGAATTAAAGAACTCCAGGTTATTGCTCATTAGATGAACATGCAAAAAAATGTGAAGTTTGTCTACTGAGAAGCAAACAATTCAATAAGATATAAAAAATAGGTGGATAGTTAGGTTCCTCTGGAAATAAACTGAAATAAAGGAGCTTGTCTTTATTTTTATGAAACTTCATGTAAACACTGAAATTATGGACCTCTATAATGAAGCACAGCAACAAAAAAGCAAACAAAAAAACTTATTGTCTGTATTCAACAACAGCAAATATAAACAGACACAATCATTTATATTTAAGAAACAGAACATTTTCTTCTTCAGATTTAGATTTCCAACTTAGTTGTTAATGTTTTGGGGAAATACCCATTCAGCTGCTGTTTTTTATTTTTATTATTATTATTTTTTTTTTGCCTTTCGGCTTTATTTGACAGTATAGTAGAGAGACAGGAAAGTGGGGAGAAGAATGGGGGAAGGATCTGCAGCAAATGGCCATGGGCTGGATTCGAATACTTAACCATATTCAGGACTTTAATGTTGCCAGAAGGTGTTTCGGGGTCCGTTGGGCGGTCTGTCGAGCGACTGTGGCTCAGGCAGTAGGTTGTCCTCCATTCGCAAGGTTGGCGGTTCGATCCACCGCCCCTCCACAGTGTCCTTGGGCAAGACACTGAACCCGAAGCTGCTCCCAATGGCAGGCAGCACCTTGCGTGGCAGCTCTGTCACCACTGGTGTATGAATGTGTGTGTTAATGAGAAACGCATTGTAAAGCACTTTGGATAAAAGCGTTTTATATGTGCAGACCATTTATCATTTATCATTTATCACTGGACCCCAAGAAAGAATACGTGCAAAATATTTGTTGGCTGTTCGTATTATAGACTTTTATATTGTGTTAAATACATTTTCTGATAAGTTGACGTATTTTTGGTTCCAAATGCACGAGAAACGTCCCTCTTTTTATATTTAAAAACAAAAGCTTCAAGAATAAAAAAACAAACCCGGGTCCAAAAGACTCCAAAAGTCCTTTATACGGTTAATAATATAAAAACCTTCATGTTTTTGCTGTTCCAGGCCTCTGAATGAGCTGTTTGACAAAAGATATTTCCTGGAAATACCGTATGATGTCTGCAAGCTGAGACGAAGGTAGCTGTTTTTTCTTTTTTTCTTATATTTTCTGTTTTATCTCTGAATGCATTTTGTCTCCTTTAGGTTTGAGCAGCAGCGTTAGAGCAAAAGAAGCATTGTGTAATGGTGTTTTTACTCCTGCTGCTGTCTCTGACTGACAGTTCCAGGGTGTACAAGCCTCCCGACCCTCCCGGTTACTTCGATGGACACGTGTGGCCGATGTACCTAAAAAATCGCCAAGAGATGGAGAGCGTCACGTCGGACATCGGTGAGAGTCCGGCCAAAAGATGCCGTACGTCCTGAGCTGTGTGTGGTAGTGTTTGTGGACGACCGTAAAGATGGAGCCGCTGATGTGTTGAGTGTGTGTTTAAGATAAGATAAGAGATCAACTTTACTGGTGCCGCAGTGGGGAAGGTTCACCGTTACAACAGCTCCGAAAAGAAAAATGTCAAGTCAGTACAAGAATAATTTGGAAACACAGAAAACATTATATACAGAAGATGTTTTTTTTAAGAAGACTTAACACACAAGGATGAGATAGTAACAGTTAGTGCACTTAAGTAGGATGAAAAAAAGCAGCAGTAACAGAGGTTTAATGCAGCAGTTTGATGGAGATCATTCCAAAAAGTCTGGAAAAAAAAAAGTTCTTACTTTAACAGCTGAACAATTGTTGAATAATACAGTTTTAAAAAGGTTTTGTCTGTTTTTTTTCAGTTTTCCTCGATGGTCAGATGTCGAAAGAAGAGCTGCTGGCTGCTGTGTGTAGAGATGTCATCCATGAAATAGAACGACTCAGGGGTAAGGCTGCTTCATGATGAAGACCATGTGTTTGACTTATTGTCAATAATTTATACAGATGTGACACATCTGTCATTTTTATTGGACTGTATGAGATTTTTACTCTCTTTCAGAAAGCTCTTACAAACTAAATACTGGCATTGATAGAAATGTTAAGTATGAATGTTTATACCACAACAGTTTGAAAAAAAATCTGTTCAGTTAAATAGATAGATAGATAGATAGATAGATAGATAGATAGATAGATAGATAGATAGATAGATAGATAGATAGAAATACTTTATTAATCCCCAAGGGGAAATTTGGTTGCTACGGCACAAGATAGAGTTACCACCACCATAAATAGGCAAAAATAAACAATAAGAAAATATAAAATGTACAATTAGTGTAATATTTCATTTCTTTTCTATCTAAACAGTGGTTTGAGTTTTAGCTCATGTTTATAAAATAAGAAAAGCTATCAGGGCTTAACTCATATGCTAACAAGGACAAAACGTCCTAATTATGGTGGAAAATTTCTGTCTCAGTGGATTGAAAGTAAGAAATTGTGCTAATTAGGTTTTCTTTATTTAACCTTTATTTTACCAGATAAGTTAGATGAGAACTGGTTCTCATTTTCAATAACAACCTGGTCAAGAGGCGGCACACTAAAACAGATCACATGTACAGCAAATCACACAATTTGTTTTGAGCGATAAATCAACAGCCAATTAGATGAAAAAGTGTCACTTAATTTATATTTTCTGTTTATTTTTTCCCATTCAAGCTCAGATGTTTGACTGGTAAATGTGACCATGAAGAGAGAGGCTGTTTGTTTTTAGTTGTCTCACTTATAATACTGCTTTTTGCGCACTATTTTGCCCCCCCAAAAAAGTGCAAAATGAACACCAAGTCTTCTTTTGTGCATTTTATTTGCAGAGACAGACTGATTTGTTTTCCAGCTGAAGATGGAGACTGCAGCTTCCGTGGATGTTGACTAATGTGTGATTGAAAGGACCAAACTGGGGCTTTTCTTTGGTGTTGTGTGAATATCCTGGTTTTAGAGTTTGAATGAGAACTAATTGGTGCTGCAGCATCTGAAGCTGTCCAGCTGGAGGCTGGACCTGATGTGTTTGCCGTTAATGAGCAGTGTTTTAAGTCTTTGGGGGGATGAAGTATGTCGTGGTTTTGTGACGATGTGAGGCCGATGCAGATTTTAGGACTTTATAGTTGACTGATGGTTTGGCTGGTTTTCTGTCTAACCGTAACATAACTATACATATATATATGACCATAACTTGTGAGGAGGTTCTGGATAACCAAAGGTTGGATGCGTATTTACTGAGGATCACATTAAAAGATTTTGTCACTCATATGTGGATATTACAAATAATGAACTACGATTGTTGTTTCCTATCGTTAGATGAGCTTGTTTTGTTTTTATGATGATTTTAATGACTTTGCTCAGTGTGCATCCACATTTAGTCGGAGAAACTCGTGAAATGATGAAGTCTGGATGTTGGAAAACACTCAAAAGTTTCTTATGAATGTTTCAGAAAAGCTGGAGGTGACACAGAAACAGAGGAGTAAAAAGTCAGCAGAAGATTTCTATTTCTTCTCTGTTTTTTTATAGTTTTTTTTTTTTTTTACTGATGAGTTTATTCTTGTAACTCTGTTTTGGGAGTTTTTTTTGTGGTAAGTTGTTCAAAATGTCACTCATTGTAAAGCAGCTAGTGGAAAGTGGAATAGAAGAAAACTCACCAGCAGAACTGAACTGTTAAAATTAAAACTACGCACCACGTGGACACAAAATACGGTCAGAAAATTACAAATAATGCACCTCTTCTACTAATACCGAGTCTTCCTGCCACCTAGTGATGGATTTAAAAATAAAAAAAGATGTTGTCTAACTCATGAAAGAAGACTAATATGCACATTTCTATACAAATAGAAGGACGACAGACTCACATGTGACAGTTACTACAGAGACTGCAGCTCTTTCTGCTTTCTTTCTGAGCTTTACTTTGAATTAGAAGCAGAAGTTTCACTTTCCTGTCACCGGCTATTGTAGTGAAACCTCATTTGTTCTTAAATAGTTTGGTTCCTTTATCTCAATTTCTTCCATTTACTCGCACACCCTTCCTGTTTTTGTTTACTCCAGACTTCTACCTGGCTGCGTTCAAACCGCTCGGACTGCAAGTGAATGACTAAAAGCTGCTTTTGACAAAATAATCCCAACTCCAGGACTCGTCGGTTCGCTCTGTTGTCGTCTCCATCTGTTATGTAATCTGTGTGGAAATTTTATCTGTTACAAAATGTGCTGCTTTCAACACTTTTTTTTGTGATCCAGGCCATCTATACGGATGTGCACATGATGTTATCCATTAATAAACCGATTGTTGTGCAACGCTCCTGGAGAAGCGTTGGCGTGATAAACAGACAGAACTCTGCAATAAACCTCCTCCTTTAAGACCCTATAAATAGAACCACAGCCTTCATTCCCAGACACAAACCTGTCTGACAGCACTCTGAATCCCAGTGAGCCTCGAAAGCTGCCCTTTTTTAAAATTTTGTGATGCTTTCATGTGATCTATATGACCTGCATTGCTAAAACTCGGATACACGGCGTTGCCACATTTCCCACAACCCTACATGACCTGAATTTTTAGGAAAAAGTCCACGCTGTCAGCAGAACATTTGTGTTTACCTCAGCAGTCGACTTGTCCGACCGGCAAGTGCAGTTATGACATCTTAATCTGGGCATTCCTCACTTCCCCGTCCTGATTATATCCTCTTCTGCCGCGACGTATATAAGTCAGCTGCTTTCATAAACCTCCAGCGGACTTGAGGGCTGCAAACATGTCTCGTACAGGATTTTTAACATATCTGTGCTTGTTTACGGCCTGTTGCTGGAGCAGTGAAGCTATGCCACGTAAAGTCAGCCAGGAGGCGGTGAACGACAGGCCTGTGATCGGTGAGTAAAGTCTATTTACTGTCTGGTGTTTAACTGAGAGTGAGCTGAGGTTTAGGAGTCTTTAGAAAGTGCAGCTAATGACCGGTTCTTTTTGTAGAGTCTTTTTCACAGCTGCTGTGTTTTTGTCCCACAGGTGTTTTAACCCAGTTAGTTTCAGATGATGTCATGAAACCATTCGGCAAGACTTACATTCCTGCCTCCTATGTGAAATACCTGGAGTCTGGGGGCAGCAGGGTGATGCCTATCAGGTGGGCTCAGTCCTCAGGTGTTGTTCATAGAGATAAATCATACATTAGAGGGAAACTTTTTGACATATAATCTGTATATTTCATTGAGCAGGAAGTAGTGGTAGATAATTAACAATTAAACCACTTTTAATGTCTGCAAAATACAAAGCACGCGAGGTTTCTTTACATCAGACAACCATTGTGTTATGAGCTGGACGTTAAATCGGTTTTATTTTCAATTAAATCCCTGTTGACATCTTGCACAAATAACAGGAAGCCGTCTCCCTGCGAGCGTCTCTTTTGTGCTGCTTAAACAATGCAAATTAATACACTGAAGGGATTGTTTTTGTTTCCTCCTCGCTCAGACTGACTCTCACTACCGCTGACTATGAAAACATCTTCAAGAAGATAAATGGGTGAGCTGCACAACGTGACAGTAAATGTGCTGGGAAATTACATTTCTATCTGGGATTAAAAGGGGAAAAAAATCCAGTAATTGTATTTCCTGTATGATGTCTGTTTAGGCTGCTCTTCATCGGGGGAGCTGTGGATCTGGAGACTTCTGACTTTGCAAGGGTGGCGAAGGTTTTCTACCGACTCGCTGTGGAGGTTTGTGATGCTATTTTATTAATTCTCCTTTATGTGCTTCAACTGTCTCTCTGCCTAAAGAGCTGTTTAGAGTCTTTTAAATGAACAGAATTTACTTATATTGTTCTTTAGTATACATTTGAGACCGTGTTCTTGCACCTATCTTGAGATTTTTACCATTTTTGTCATAGAATTTTACAATATCAATCATTTAAATGAATGTATGTTGGATTCCTCAGTGTTATATAATAAGCTCGTGACACATATTTAAGTGTACAGCATGTGAACTAGTTAATACTTAACTAGTTCCCGCTTTAAAACCTATCAGTTATTCACCACTTTGATCTTTGCACTGATAAAGTGTAGGTTATTGTGGTGATATTTACTGCATAATACTAAGAATTTGCTGCAATCTTAACATTTCTTGTCTTTGTTTGAGGCGTTTCAATGCTGCTTTAGTTGTTTCAGACACAGATAGGTTATATTTCTGACTCTGTGTGTTCCAGGCTAATGATGCCGGGGATTCCTTCCCCATCTGGGGCACGTGTATGGGCATGCAGCTGCTCACCGTGCTGGTGGCCGAGAAGAACCTGCTGACGCGCACCACGGCTGAGAATGTAGCTTTGCCCCTCAACTTGACCACAGGTTAAAGCTTTTTTGCTCTTTATATCGATTTTCATGTCAAGTTAAAGGTCCGGTGTGGAGGAGTTGTGTAGCAGAGAGGCCGCAGAGTGCAACCAGAAGAACTTAGTGCGGTTGGTTTGTCCATTCTGGGCTTCTGTAGAAAGATGTAAGAGCAACATGCTAGTCTTTGTGAAGGAAGATCATTTTTAATAGATACATGGTGACTTATTATGATGTTTGGCTGCATTTCCTAGAAAACTGCACGAACCAAATCCCAACACTTGGTGTCACTGCAGACAAATTA